GGAAGAGGAAGAGGAAGAGGAAGAGGAAGAGGAAGAGGAAGAGGAAGAGGAAGAGGAAGAGGAAGAGGAAGAGGAAGAGGAAGAGGAAGAGGAAGAGGAAGAGGAAGAGGAAGAGGAAGAGGAAGAGGAAGAGGAAGAGGAAGAGGAAGAGGAAGAGGAAGAGGAAGAGGAAGAGGAAGAGGAAGAGGAAGAGGAAGAGGAAGAGGAAGAGGAAGAGGAAGAGGAAGAGGAAGAGGAGGGATCAGTGAGGGTGAGGAAGAGGAGAATGGGGATGGAGGAAGGAGAGGAAATTGAGGAGGAGGATGAAGGTGAGGAGGAGGAGGAGGAGGAAGAATTGGGACGGAGGAAGAGAAGGACGAGGGGGGATCAAGGAGGAAGATGAAGGTGGGGAGGAAGAGGATGAAGGGGAGGAAGAGGATGAAGGGGAGGAGGACGAGGAGGAATCACGAGGAAGATTAAGGGGAGGAGGACGAGGAGGAGGATGAGGACGAAGGAAGAGGAGGAGGACGAAGCTCAGGAGGAAGAACCGGGATGGAGGAAGAGGAAGACGAAGGCCGGGAGGAAGAGCAGGCAGCGAGGAAGAGGAAAATCCGGGAGAGAGGAAGAGGAGGAGGGCGGGGACGGAGGAAGGGCGGGGCGGGAGGGGCCGGGGCAGGGCGGAGGAGCGGCCCCGCGAGGCCGAAGGCTCCGCACTCACCGCGGCGGGCGCGGCCGCGCTGGCCCCGGGCCAGCAGGAACCGGGGGCTCTCGGGACACAGCGGCAGCAGCAGCAGCTGCAGCGCCGCCGGCAGCAGCCCCGCCCCGAACAGCGCCGGCCACGCCGCCGGCGTCCCCAGCAGCGCCCGCAGCCCCAGCACCTGCGGGGGAAGCGCGGCAGCTCGCGATATCCCGCGATATCCCGCGATATCCCGCGATATCCCGCGATATCCCGCGATATCCCGCGATATCCCGCGATATCCCGCCAGAAAGGGGCGATACGCCGCCGCAAACGGCGCTATGTCGCGATAGAGCCCCGGAGCTAGCGCTCTATCGTGGCGGGAAGGGCAGTGTCGCGATGTGTCGCCTCCCGGGGACCCCCAAAATCCCCTCAGGACCCCCCAGCCCTGAGCTCAAATCTTCCCAGGATCCCTCAGGACCCTCAAGTCTCCCCCGAGTTCCCGCCCCTCCCCCTCAGACCCCGCCCATCAGGCCCCTCCCAGGCAAGCCACGCCCCTAAAGCCACGCCCACCTCCTACCTCCACCCACCCGCACCCCCAAGACACCAAAGGGTCCCCAGGACCCCCAAAGGCCCCTCCCTCTTAAGCCCCGCCCCCACCGACCCCCGACCTCGTTAAGCCACGCACACCCCTTAGGCCACGCCCACCCCGGGATGAAACCACGTGGGTCCTCAGTGGCCCCGCCCATTCAAGCCCCACCCACCCACGAGGCTCCTTCATCAAGACTGAAGC